TGTGAGGGGGGAGGAGTGGAATGCCACAGGTATAGACTGGAGCCAGGAGGTTGATAAGAGTGTGTTGGCAGTGTCTGGGGGGCACATGGGAAAAAGTTTTGTGACAGCGGCTGCAGGGGAGGGCGGGTGCGGAGCTGCTCGGTTTGAAGAGCTAATATCGCCTGGAGCGTGTCTGCTTGGCACTCCATAACCTTTAAGAACCGCTCCGTGGCTTCATTCTGGCGTGCTGCATTCTCCTTTCGGTCCCTCTTCTCGCTGTCCCACCACTCCTTCAATTCCTGTTTCTCAGCGATGGAGTGCATCATAACATCGCACAGACAGTCCTCCTTAGTTCTTCTTGGCAGCTTTCTAATTCTGCGCAGCTGTCGATACCAAAGAGGGAGGCTGGGCTCCCAAGGTCATCTCTGTGAAGTTTAAATGCAACATTTTACAGAAGCAGTATGGTTTGCAACGCAGACAACACTGATTCAGTGCTTTAAAACACAGCCAGTACTCACACACCTGTCACTAACTGGCTGATCCCAGGCAAGCACACATGAGCCACAAGACCCCCAAAATGGTGAGTAGCTGCAGGGGGAGGGTGAATCACTCTTCCCGGACCCTGCTGTACACTGGTCACATGGCTCTTGGGGATAGTCAGCACTGTAGGGGAGGCCTGATAATCATTCCTGTCCCCACACTTTCCACAGGATGTGATCATTATGGAAGATATCTCGCTGCTGAGGGTGAGCAGGAATCAAGGGTCTTCTCCAAGCCTGTGGCTTCCGCCCTGGCCCCTATGCGGCTCACCTGTGTGCAGCAATGGTCGTGTTTCCCCCCCCTCCCCCACCATGACGGCACAGTGGGGCAGGAAAGTTACCATTAATGGGGCAAGAAACAAAGCAGCTCTGCCGAAGAACCTGCGGCAGGGGATTGCCCAGTATCTCCACGAGAGTTTCCTTGAGATCTCTGAGGGAGAGTCCTGTGAAGTGAGGAAGTCAATCAATAGCCTGTTCCACCTCTCAGACTAGGCATGCGGTGGGAGACAAGCCTGCTTTCTGCAACCCTCCTGCCCCCAACAACTCGCTTCAGAGATTCCCCAAATCAGATCCACTTACCAGGGTCCTCCTCTCCTGTTTGCACTTTGCCAATCTCCGACAGCTGTGACTGGCTAGGCTCCTCCGGGGTAGAAAAGAGCTCCTCGCTGCATGCATCTCTGGCCTTTGAGTCATCCTCTGCGTCTGGGTCTCCCTCCCCCTCCACATCCTCGTCCAAGATTTCCTCCTCCTGGCTCAGTCCACTCTTGACTGGCACGTGAGACAATGAAGTATCCACGGTGGTCTTTGCAGTGAACGTGAGGTTGCCGCTGAGTATCACGGCCAGCTCTTTGTAGAACCGACAGCTTGTGGGCGCAGCCCCGGAGTGGCAGTTTGCCTCCTGCGCCTTGTGGTAGGCGTTCCGCAGCTCCTTCACTTTGACCCTGCACTGTCATGCCTCTTGAAATCTGTCCGTAGGTATCATAATTCCTATGGCTGGAGTGCAGCTGGGAATGGACAGCCTCCTCTCCCCAAATGCTGATGAGGTCCAGCAACTCGGCATTGCTCCAAGAGGGGGATCGCATGGTGCATGGAGCAAGCATGGCCACCTGAAAAGATGCGCTGAGATCACTGCACGCATCACCGAGCAAACAGGAAGGGGACTTTCAAATTTCCAAAGGAATTTATGGGGTGGGGATGATGGTTGGTCACCTGAGGGCAGGGCAGTAGAGTTCAAACCGATGACCAGAGATGTGAGAGCAGGCATTGTGGGACACCTCCCAGAGGCCAATCGCAGCGCTGTTATTGCCACAGTGTCTACACTGGCACCACAGCACTGTAGCCTCGGCGCAGAAAGCTGTACGCCTCTCGTTGGGGTGATTTTTTTTAAAGCACTACAACTGTGTAGTTACTGCGCACTAAGTGGCTTGGCAGTGTGTACACTTCGGGAGTTACAGCGCAGAAAGCTGCTTTACTGCGCAGAAACTTGCCAATGTAGACAGGGCCTTTGATAATGGGCTCTTCAGTCTAGCAGAGAAAGGTATACTATGATCCAATGGCTGGAAGTTGAAGTTAGATAATTCAGATTGGACATAGGGTGTAAAATGTTAACAGTGAGGGCAATTAACCATTGGAACAATTTACAAAGGTCTTGGTGGATTTTCCATTACTGGCGATTTTTAAATGACGATTGCATGATTTTCTAAGAGATATGCTCTAGGAATTTTGGGGAAGTCCAATGGCCTGTGTTGTACTGGAGGACAGACTAGATGATCACACTGTTGGCCTTGGAACCAATGATTCAGGGCAATAGAAAGTTTGGCTTCTTGTCACACACGTTCCAACCAACTACCACCAGCAACTGGAAAGGTTACTGCATGTAACAGATGTAAGGTAAACTGGTGTTGTAAACTCAAGGTGTTCCAGTTAGTTTCAATGCCTTTTTGACCAGTGTATAAAGACAAAGACCTCAAATACACTGATGGATGTTACTTCCCCACAAAGGACAGGGCTATTCTGAATGGCAGGGTCCACTCAAACCTGTTCTCCAGAGCTTTATACTGTGTAGAACAGCAAGAGCATCCCTGTCTGTTGGGAATATTCTGACACAGTATTCACAGGGGCACCATTTAGGGAGGGCAGGAGGGAGGTCTCCTGCCCCGCCCCTGAGTTTTGTACAGGTCTGCTCACAGTGCACATCCTAGCCCCAGGTGGAGCTCTTAACTGCAGCATAGCCTGAATGTGGAATGTGAATTCTGCAGGAGAGGTGCTGCTCCCAGTTTGTTCCCCTGGGGCAGGGAGTCAGTATTTTGTTTATAAACAGAGGCAGGGTGATTAAGATAAGAAAGGGCTAGTAATTAAATTAAGGATCTGGAAGTCATTAGATGAGCCTGTAAAACAGGATGGGGGGGGGGAGGGGGAAGGAGAAGGGTGTTGAAGAGAGAACACAGGAGACTCAGAAGAAATACAGCCAAGTCCTCTGAGCCAAGGTTATATTCAGAAAAGATGGAGATGTGAGGGGGATAAGTGAAAAGAAGAGGCCAAAACCAAGGGAAGAGATAGCACTGATATGGAGAAGTTCCCACCTTACCTGTGGTAATTATGTGGCCCCATCACCATAGGATCTGAGCATCTCACCATGTCTAACCTATTTCTCCTCGCACACCCTCTGTGAGGTAGAACAGTGCTGTTATCCCCATTGTACAGATGGGGCACTGAGGCACCGAGAGATTAAGGGCCAGATTTTCAAAGGTATTTAGGCACCTTGTGATATTTTCAAAAGTGTTTAGAAGGTTAGGTGCTTTGTAAAAAAGCAGTGTTGCCAACTCTCATGATTTTGTCCTTGTTTTCCTTAAAACCTCAGCTCCTGGAGTCAAGTGGATATGTGATGATTTCAGCTTTCATTCATAAAGAAAAAGTAAGTTTCTAGCCCTCATGGCTGTGAAGAAAGCTTCAAAATGTGACCCAATGCACCCTCAAGGGTCAAAAAGCCAAAGACTAACAAAAAGAACACCAAAACTATTCTTTTTTACATAATCTCATTATTTTTAAGCCAATCTCATGATTTTTGGTGAACCTGACTCATGATTTTTGAACATTGGAGTTTGGCAATACTGTGAAAGAGACCTGAAACTGTCAGTTTCACTCCTGTTTAAAGTAAGTTTCTAGTCTATTATTTGTAGTATGGTAACACCTCTAGAGCCCCGGGGCAGTTGAAGTATAAACTCACAGAGCCTTGCCCTAGTAGGATGTTTCCAAAAGTTAAATGACCTATTCCAAGCTTGGTGAACTGCAAAGAGTAAGAAGTGTAAATGACAGAAAGGAATCGAGATTTTTCTACAACTCTTTCAACTGTTGTATTCAAGAGTTAGTAAAAAAGTAAGAATATTAACTGAACATTAATATTTTAACCCTAACCAGTGTCCCTTAAGTGACTTAACACAAGATGTCAGAACATGTTACTACTACAGCTGAATGGATCTAATATGTATTTACTTTTCTTTCTTTACATAGGAATTAGATAGAAATTAGCTGGCAGGAGTATTGTAAGTTATTATCTGCAAAACACCTAGAGTTTTCAGGTGCCTAACTCACCCCTGAAAGCGTGGTTAAAGTCCCCGCCCAATCTGAAATGATGCCCCTGGACGGAACATCACACCCCTGAGACTGTGAGCAGGAGGCAGCTCCATCAATGGCCTCCATTGCTGTCCCAGAGTCAGGAGAGAACTGGCGGTGTAGGAATAACACAGCCTATCCACCTACCACGGGCAAGTGAGGCGTTGCGTTTCCCTATCGCCATCCACTCAAGGCGTTTCACAATCGAGCCGGCCCCGCTAGCAGGTGGCAGTATCCTCCTGGCAGCCGAGGGAGGCAGCAGGACCCAGGAGTCCTGACTCCCATCCACGGGCTTGGTTAGGATGCTGCTGCTACGGCACACACCGCTCCCAGCCCCTCGCAGAGGGTGAGCAGGGCCCGGAACCCACCCGATCCTCTCAGCTCAGCCCCTATGGCCCGAGGGTGTGTCTTTCTTCCCCAGATGGCAGGCTGCCCCCGCCACGCACCCACCCGCAGCCGCTCCCTTACTGATCTCTCCGGCCTCGGCCTCCTCCTCCTCCTCCTCCTCCGGCTCCCCCTGTTCGGGGGGCAGCCGGGCCAGCGCTGCCACTACAGCCTCCTCAGCCGCCATCTTCCCCACACACAGCACGGAACCACGGGCTGGGGAGCGGAGCGGGAGTCCAAGCCGCAAACGCCTCTCCTGACGGGGGGGGAGGGCGCTGTTCGCGGCTCGCTTCCTCTCACTGGGCAGACGGCCGCGCCGACTCGCCGCAAGGGGGCGCGATGCAGTCGTTCGGGCCCCGCCAATAAAACTACGCTTCCCGAGATGCATATCTGCAAAAAACTACACTACCCAGAATACACCGGGATCACAGCAGCCAACCGCCCTCCCCTGGCACGGACTGTGACGTTCAAATGTCTCCAGCGGCCAAAAGTAGCAATGAGAAAACTACACTACCCAGAATGCCAGTGGGATGAGGTCTCCGTTGGGCCTTGGCTAGACGGCGCCACAGTGAGTAGAGCTCCGGGCTGTGTTTGCGGGGGTGTTTGTGTTCCCCAGTCTCTGCCTTGGGCTGGCTGGGGCCTAGGACCGGGGGCTGGGAGAGCGGTTCGCTCACTTACTCGGGGGGCGAGGGGCTGGCTGCCCCTTCTCGGGGAGGGGGCGTGTGGTTCTCTGGGGCTGGATGGGGCATTTCCTGGGGTGGCAGGGAGGCTGCCCGCGGGGTCTGTGAGGTATCATGCCCCCGCTGCTGCTGTAAACATAGGGGAGGGGATGGGGTGGTACTGGGGGCTGGAGGGGGAAGTCACCGACCTGTTCTTAGGGCTGGAGTTCTCTCTGCTTCCCCTTCTTTGGCGTGGGCGCCACGATCGTGGGTGCACTAGGAACAAGGGTACTGACCTGCGAGGTGCAAAGGGGCTTAGGTAAACTCGCTGTCTGTCCTCACAAGCGATTAGTGACCCTACGGAATAGCTCTTGGCTAGCAGGTGCTGACGGACCTGACCCACCCATTCCAGGTGGCGTTTCTTCTAAGGCCAGTCTCCATTGCCCATTTGTTCACTTTTAAAACAAGCAGCTTTGTGCTTTATCCCGTGCTGAACTTCATGCTTGAGAGGAGCTGCCTGTAAACATCCATATGCTCCTTCAAAACCCTCCTTAAAACGTCTTTGCCGTGATGCCTACAAAAAGCGCAAACAAGCAAAACTTGACCAATATTGTCTCATTATTTACTTGTACTCTCCCATCTGTCTGTCTATATCAAGCTGTTGTCTCTTGCTTAGATTGTATGCTATTTGGGACAGGGTCCACCTTTTGTTCTGTTTTTGTGCCTACCACAAAAGTGGGTACTGGTCCATGACTAGGGCTCCTAGGCACTATGGTGGTGATAATAGTAAGTCTGACAGGCTGGTTCTTGCCCACATGCTTGCCGTCTAACTGTGCACCATATGTGGGGCTGAGAAGGAATTTCCCCCCAGGTCAGATTAGCAGTGACCGTGGGGTGGGGGTTGCCTTCTTCTGTAGCATGGGGTCTAGGTTGCTTGCCAGGATTGTCTGGAATCATTTCCCTGACATCACAGGGCCTTGGGCATTGGTGTACCTTGGTCCTCCAGTTCTTTGCCTTTGTGGCACACAGGGGCTTGGTCTGCTGAGGATTGTAATACTTTAGTGTAATTTGGGTTGCTGGGTGGTGTTAGTGGCCTGTGATATCCAGGTGAGACTAGATGATCTAGTGTTCCCTTCTGGCCTTAAATTCTATGATTCTGTGATATGACGTTATTGGGCTTACTCATCTTGCACAAGGATGATCAACATTACGTACAGCATATTATTTCAGGCACACTTAAATCTACTCCTTTACTATAGTTACCACTCACTGTTCATAGAGTGGAAAGTATAGCAAAGCTCATAACAAAATTGTGTGATATGTCACATCTACCGTTAATTAAAGACTTGTTTAATCTACGACATGATCGTCTGCCCTCACAGCGCCCGTTGTGGATAAGTTTACCGGGTGAGGGCTTTATGGTTGAGGATACGTGGCAAGCTTCATGGTCCGCAGACAGTGTGACAAATAATTATCTTGTATTCCACTCCGCATCAGCCCATGTTTTATTTACCACAAAGGCAATGGAGCCTTCTCAGCTATGTTTTGTACTGGACATGGAATTTGTGCTGCAGCAGAATTTTGGTGGTGTTTTAGAGACAGTCCGCTATGTCAGTATGGGTAGCCACAAATCATGACACA